ACAAGTTAGAAAAAAATGTATAGGTAACTTTATTTGACTCCAAACACTTTACTCTCTTTCCTTTTTTTCCTCTGTAATGTATTTGGAATTAGAGATAAGCTTGAAAGATGCCAGCAGCGCCTGCTAAAAGCCTGCAAAAATGACAAGGAAGATTACACAGCTGGAAAAAACTGTTTCAACGTTTCTTGTGACATAAAAAAGCAAAGCCTGAAACAACAAAAAACCTACACGTAAGAGACGAGAACATCTGTGGAAAACCAGTGGGTGAAAATCACAGGAATCCTGGCTTTAAACCCATGTAAAGAAGACCTCCAGCAGTCCGAGTCATCCAACAGCAAGGCAGGCGTCTGGAGAGGGAGTGAGGTCCCCGTTCCTAGAAGTATCCAAGGACTGCTTACCAGGTGCTGAAGGGGCAGAGTAGGAGGTAACTCAAACATCTGAGGGCTTGACTAGGTCACCCCATGAAGTTTATCCCAACGTCATCCTATTGTTCATAGCGGAGGCTTACCACGGCCACTCCTGCTTATTGGGCACATTTTAAGTGACAAATGCTGTGCTAAGCAATTTTCTTATTTGACTAAAGTACCAGCAGGGCATACTTTGCTCCTTAAGAGCTAGATAAGATCAACTTGGATCCTTACTTCATGATTTATAGAAAGCCTAAAACCCGCCTCGTGGTTTCTGTATTTCTAGGGCAGTGTGTGTGTGTGTGTGTGTGTGTGTGTGTGTGTGTGTGTGTGTTTTATGAGGAGGGGGTTCATTCAAAGGCATCTCTAATTCTGAGTTTCTGAGTCAGTTCACTTTCTGGAAGGTCCTTCTTTCTGCACATGTTCCTGTTTCAAGATCTGGAGCTCAGTCTCATTCCTTGATTTCCACAAAGAGTCACTGGTGGACTTGGAGTGGACTGTCCGGAAGGTTTGCAGCCACAGAGATGATTTAAGTTTACTGTCACATTGGTCTTTAAGGGGAAAAAAAGAGAGATGTTTGAAGCTGTGGTGATGCAAGCAGCAGGGATATCAGCCACCCCAGTTCTTAAAGGAGCCTTTTCACTGCCCCCCTCTTGGGTATTCTGCCCTGGCCACCCCACCTTACATAGAGCCTGGTCACCTCCTCAGCTCTCTGGCTTCTTTCTTCCCTTCTCTTCCTCCCTTCCCTGTCAAACAACCAGCCAATGCACCATCCAGTCCGCAGGCTAACCCAGCCGGCCAGCAAATCAACCAACTACCCAGCCTGCCAATCATAGGCCTATCACTATTTATTATTTATCTATCTATTTTTAGTTGACCAGGTTGGATTTGAACTCCTGGGCTCAGGTGCTCTTCCTGCCTCCGTCTCCAGAGTGGCTGGGACTGCAGAATTGTGCCGCCATGCCTGGCTCTTGACATCATTTTTAAAAGAAGTCACCATATGACAAGCCGTATCAAACTTAAAAAAAAAAAATAGGAAGGAGAGAAGGAAGGAGACAAAAGAGAAAAAGCCTCTTCTTTACTAATGCAGAGCAATTCTGCACTCCCTTGGCCCTGAACTCCAGACCTGACTTCTGGTTTCCTTCCACCCAAATAGTTTATCAAGGTGTTTTCCAAAACTCACACCCACATTTACTTTGAACTTTATGCCTCCATTCCAGGCACTGTCAGGCACTTCAGGTTTCCAATCTGCAAAATCTTCTTTAATCCTTGTAATGACCCTGTAACACAGGGAAGACTGTTATCCTCATCTTCTTTGTGAGGAAACTGAAGCTGGGAGGGAAGAAGTCAATCCTCCAGGGTGCAGGCTGGCGAGGGGCAGAGCGAGGAGTGGGACGGCGGTAGGTTTTTCCACACTCAGAAATCTGAAAGATCAGAGCCCCCTTCTTCCCACCTGAAATCTGGTGCCATTAACACAATGTTTTATTTTTTGACTCTATCAAGCAAACATCATCTCATTTTCTCCTTAGAGCAGCCCTGAAGGTAGGTATATTCATCCCCACTTCAGAGTTCCAGAAAACCAGGGTTTAGCAAGGTGGCTTGCCCAGGGTCCCAACCCCTCTGATGTGGTATAACCAGGGATTTGAATCCATGGCTCCCTGATTGTAAAATTCTGCTCTTAACCTCACTGCGCTGTGCATGCCTCCTGGATACAGACATTAATGAAATACAGAGATACAGAGGAGTGGGCATTTAGGGATATTTGCAATGATCAATTATGTAACAGGACTTCTTGGAGCCTAAGTATCATAGAGGAGGCATGACCAGCTCTGCTGGACAGGGGAAGCCTCGCAGAGAAAGTGACCTGGAGCAAGGTTCAGAATGATGACTAGGAGCTTACTACACAAACACACCCGTGAGCAGGGGAAGGGCATTCCAGGCAGAGTAGACCTCCTGGGGAATGACAGCCTTGCACTATAGTTGTGCCTTTGTGGGAGCTACCAGCAGGTTGGAAAGACTGGCTCCCCTGTAAGAAAGGGAAGTGGTACAAACTGAGGTTGAAGAGGGCAGTGGGGACCAGCTCTGGAAAGGCCTTGAATGCCAGACCAAGGGGTTAGACTTGACCCTCACGATAGATGGGGATCATTGGGAGACATTTAAGCAGGAGAAGGATGTGATTGCCTTAAGCGGGGTGCCAGGACTGCTGTGGGCACCACACACACGCAGGAACGTGTCTTCTTTTTCTCAACCACATTCATCTTCTTTTCAGGAAAGGGTACTGAGGTTTTAATGAACTCATTACTCATTCCACTGTCAGGTGAGTCCAATTGCACTGGGAGGGTGAGCAGAGGGCTCTTCCCGCTGAGACCATGCTGCTGCGATCTCATCAGCAGCTGCCCTAGCCTTGTCCCTGGCAGAAGCTCACCCAACCTGTTCTGCCATGACCCTCCCCCTCCACCTCCTCAGAGTCCCACGCTTTGCTGCCTCCTGAACTTGCCAACATCCGTTTCAATGGGCTTGATTGGAATCATGTCTCCCTGGAACTTACTACCATCTGTCTCCCTATGCCCTTGTCTTGGTGGGTGCCTCTGCATCTCTATCTTATGACTGGGTGTGGAAAGCTTCTATTTGTACCCTGGACAAGCAGTCTGTCTCTCTCTCTGTCTGTCCATCCTCTTTGCACCCCTACCTCCAGCCTGGGCCTGCCCATCCAGCATCTCCTCCTTCCCCTTCCCTTCTCCTTTCCACCTTGGACTTTTGGCCTGACTTGCTCTTTCTTTCCTTACCTTGAACACCTTGTCTGAATGTCTGTCTGTCTGTCTCTTCACACCTTAGTCTCTCTGATTGTTCATTTATTTCACTCTCTTTCTCTCCACCTTTTCCAGGCATTCTCTGGAAACAGACTGCTCCAAAATCTATTCATTAGAATGGTATAAGGTTTTGCAAATTCCTAACCATGTGGATTAGACTCAAGTAATCTGTGGAAGGGAATTCAGGCAAGAAAGGAAGTTCTTTCCGTTCATCACTATGGAGGCAGAGATGAGGCCACTAGAGACGTAAGCATGGGGCACCACACTGTTCTGGGTACCAGGCACCTCCTTTTCTTCTTCTCATCCTAAACCACATGGCCCTTACCCAGGCAGGAGCCACAAGCTGACCTGATGTTCCAAGTTAAACTATAAGCAGCCTCAGGGCAAGGAAAACCCTCTGTTTCATGGATTCATGGGCTTCCATGGGTGAAAAAAATCTCTTGAGATTCAACTATTACCAATTTCTTTTTCCCAGATGAGAGCTCTTCATCCCAAAGAAGCAATGGCTTGTGAAGTTCCTGTCCAGGGCTTCAAGGCACAGGGTAGGCAGTGGTCTTCTGGTTTGCACGTAGCCTGACTTCATTCCTCTGTGGTAACACAAATGCACCACAGCAGCTCTCTTCCTTCAGTATTTATGGCATAATGTTTACCAGAATTTATGTTTTTCTTCCTTAGGACAGGGTTGTTTCTAGGGAATGGCTACACAATCATAAACTACATTTCCCAGCACCCCTTGGATCTAGGGGGGATATGTAATTAGTTCTTGCCATTGGATTGTGAGTGGAAGCAATGTATGTCTTGTCTAGATGAAAGTGTTTAAGAAGAGGTTGTACCTGATTCACACACACATTTTCCTTTTTCATGAGCCAGATTCAGGGGACTCCAAGGTCCTAGGAGATGGCAGAGCCACAGACAGAAGGAGCTTGGGTCACTGAATCATGCAGAGAGCCACCTGCCAACCAGGAGCACCTACATTGACCTGTTACCTGGGGAAGAAGGGATTTATTTGTTATAGCAGCTGGCATCTCCCTAAAAAATGCAGTGTTGGCCATAGGTTATATACTTATAGGGACTCACCAAATCTGCTTCCTAAGGTATAGTCATTCTCATTTGCCTATCTTTGATGAAGAGGCCCTATCCTGGAATCTTCTACATTGCCAAATTTCAGAGAAAAGTAAATGACAGAAGTGGGACTGACCCATCACTGCCTGACAATGGCTCACATGGTCCTCTGTGCTCTCCTGACTCCCTTGAACGCTCAGCTATCCCTTCAACTTTCCCTTTGTCATTATTTTGCTGCACCACTAGTCTTTTAAAAAAATTATTATTTAATAATGATTATTAATTTTTTATTTTTAAAATTGCTGTGTGAGGCTGTTTGTGTTGCCATAAAAGAATATCTGAGGCTGGAAAATTTATAAAGAGAAGAGGTTTAATTGGCTCATGGTTCTGTAGGCTGTACAGGAAGCATGGTGCTCGGATCTGCTTTTGATGAGAGCCTCAGGAAGCTCACAGTCATGACAGAAGATGAAAGGGAAGCAGGCAGTCACTTAGCGGGAGGGGGAGGGGGAGGGGGAGGGGACACACACTTTTAAACAACCACATCTCATGTGAACTCAGAGCCAGAGCTCATACTCATCATCAAAAGGATGACCCAGGCCATTCATGAGGGATCCACCCCCATGATCCAAACACCTCCCGCTTAGTCCCCACCTCCAACATTGGGGATTACACTTCAACATGAGATTTTCAGGGGACAGATAACCAAACCCTGTCAGTTGACAAATCAAAATTGTATATATTTATGACATATAACATGTTGTTTTGAAATAGGTATGCGTTGTGGAATGGCTAAACTAAGCTACCTTTGGTCTTTTATTCTGCTCCTCAAACACATCAGGCATAATGCCATCTTAGATCCTCTATACCTGTTATGGTGTCATTGCTCCAACCCTAGATCTTCTAAAGCTGTCTTTTTTCTTAACCAAATTCTATGTCAAACAACCCCTCTCCGGTGAGGTCTTTCCTGACCACCCAGTCAAATGTGCTTGAGTCCAACTCACCATCAGCCATCATCCAACCTCTATCACAGCTTCATGGTTTACATCTTTGATGGCGTTTGCCACTACTTGAAATTATCTTGTCCATTTACTCAATTATCATCACCATATACCTCCCTTCAGTCTTTGCTTCATTTAAGGAAACAGAAACTCGGAAAGGTACTGTAACTCGCCAGAGGTCACATTGCCACTGAATAGTGGTCCCAAGATTTGAACAGGTCTGACAGATTCTGCCAAAGATGGTTTCTGCTTTGCTACACTGTTCTCTAGACACAGCAATAACTAGAGGAATGCACTTGTTTTATCAGGACATAACTTTCATCATGAATCCCAAGGCAGGGTGGTATAGGGGAAAAGCATGAATTATCGGGTTGGCAGGCCTAGTCTCATGTCCTGGCATTGACATTTTCCAGTATTAAACATCTCTGCATACTTTTCTTTCAAAACGGAATTAACATACTTACTTCAAATAGGTAATGTGAGGACAGAAGGAGACAGTGTATAAAGCAGGTAACCCAATGCCTGCACACAGTGGGTCCTCAGGCAAATACTTCATTTTTTTTTTCTAACAAAGACGTCAACAGTTATCCTGAGCATTCCACCTTCATCAATGGAAAGGGAAAAATGCAAATTTGAGTAAAACCACAAAAGATTCTAAAAAGTGGCTGATTCATTTCTGACTTCTTTTCTAGGCGTTGTTAGGAAGTTAAGTTAAAATCCAAGTCAGACTCCTAGACCTCATCCCAGTTACTGTGCTGAAAGCAGGCAGACTTTAGGATTAAAAAATTTCCCTCATTTTCCCCCCTACAATGCACAAATGTCATGAACAAGGGGCAAACTCATTATAGCTAGGTTTCTATCTGCCTAGTCCAGATGCATGTGCTAAAATATGAGGCCAGTTCCAATGGCCACCATCCAGGACCATGAGCACTGTGACTAATGTATGTAAAACACACACAAGGCTCCTCTCTCCCAGCATCTGGACCCCAAAGCAAAAGTTAGCTACAGAGAAATTTCAGGCGGACTCTCCAAAGTCTTCATTGCTTTTCAAGTTTGGAGTCAGTGAATCTGGCTCAAAGCAAAGGAGCCCTTTGTTGGGACTGGGATTTATTTATTTATTTATTTATTTTTTAATATGGATGTTACTATCCTGACAGTGTTCATTGGCCCTTGGCTGTAAAGTTCACATTTTCTGTATCAGTCAGGACAGCCTAGGTTTTATACTGATAACAAATAACCTGATTTCTCAGGGGGTTAAAAAAACAAGGGTTTATTTCTTGTTCATGCTACAGGTCTAGTGCAGCTTGCCAGGTGTCCCATGCTTACTGTAACCACTTAGGGTCCTAGGCCAATGGAAGAGCCATTATTGCAAACTTTACCAGTTGTTGGGCCTGGAGGAGAAGAAGGATCTCACACTGATAATTAACTGTTCAGTCCAGAAGTGACATCTGGCACTTGTACTCCCAACACATTTGCCACAGCTGGCCATATAACTCCATCAACCACAAGGGGAGCACAATCTACAAACCTACTGTGTGCCCAGAATGGGGGGAACCAGAAAGGTTTGTGCACAGCATCTTATTTCTATTCCTCATGCTTCCTGGATGGGTTACCAAGTCAAGGTGATTCAAGTCTCATCATAAACAAACAAACAAAAGTCTCATTCCCTTTGCTCCATGGCTATGATCCCTGCTTCAGCTCAGGCTTCACAATAGTCAGGCTTCTCCTCTAACTATTGCATCCACCCCAATCTTGTCTCTTTGCCGCTCTTCAAAGAGATGTTATTCTTCACCTTGTATTTCATCCTTGGCTTCTCAGTTGGAGTGATCACCCAGACCTCCCAGTCCACCAGGTCGTTCTCTTCCAGATAACAAAGCTTGGGGCCTTCTGACACCATCTTTCCTGCAATCCAGCCTAGATTTGTAGAGAGAGGAAGATAAAAGAGATGTTTGTCTGTTTGTAGGAAAAGTTCTTTCAGGACCCTTCTGCAGCTGTGATTCTAGGGCTCGATTATTATTCTCATCCAGGAAGCTGCAGACACACACCTCCTGTAGGGGGTCCAACTCAGACACTTAATTAGCAAAGAAAATTAAACCCCAAGGAACTGGGTTCTACAGTTGCTAGAGGGCTTCTTGTGTGATCTGCTGCTCAGCTGGTGGGAGGGACGTGAGGTGTCTGGGCCTCAGTGTTAGAGTGTGATGGACCCTTCACAACCCAATGGCCTTACCTTGCCTAGCTGCTTTGTCCCCAGGGATGTCTTTCAGGCCCTGCTTCATATTCCACCCACTCTTCCTCAGGGGATGTTATTCTTCTCTCCCAGCAGAGGACATCAAAAGGCAAAATCCCTAATTCAGTCCATCCAAATAAATGAATATCCAAATAAATATCCAAATAAATGTCCTCCCTCCCACGAGCACAGGCCTGCCCCATTGACAAAGCATGTTCACTGACAGTGGCTGACTGCATCCTTTCAGCAACACATGAGGTGGCTTTAATCACCATCCACATCAGCAGGCATGGAAATGGAGGCTCAGGGAGGCCAGGTCGCCAGTCAGGGAACCGTATAGTGGGAGCTGGAATCCAGGCCTTTGGGTTCCACTCCCAGGGTAACTTTCTGCTCCACTTCTTAGAGAAGAAACTCTGGATTGCACCTCTCACAGGGCTGGATGTTTAGAAAGCCACACCCAGACTCAGTTTCCCCAAGCCTTCCTGGCTTGGCCTGGAGCTGCGGCCAGATTCAGACCACAGGCCAGGAGATAATCAGGCCTGTTCTCTGTCTGCTCCCATCAGCAACAATGGGCCAATTAAGACAATTACTGCTGGTTTATATAACAGGAAGTAGGGATCACAGTGCTCAACTTGTTGAAAATCTCCTATAAAAGTGCTAATAATGCATTAATGTATTAATCCCCTTAATCCTGTCAAATTACCACAGAAGCGCTCTGCAGAGCTGACAGTGGCTCTCCCTGTCCCTGCAGTGGGCACTGCTGTCTGTGAGGCTCCAGGAACTCCTCTCTGGTCACCCTTCCCTGCTCAGCCCTCCTTAGGAAGCTCTCAGGGGCTGCAAGGACAGGATGGCAACTGAAGACGTTTGGCAGGAGATAAATATTGATTCTTTTAAAGAGAGATGATGATGTATTCTTTAAGCAAAGATTCTTGATTCTTTCTCAGCAAGGAGAGACTCAGCTCTGGGCAGCTGACTCTATCACTTGCTGTGCGGCCTTGGGCTTCTTTTCTAGGTTCTCTGAGTCTCCAATTCCTCATGTGTAAGACGTGGTAATAATAGCTCATTGCAGAGTTGTTGGAAGATTCTAAAGCTGCAGGCAAATGACTGACACATGAAGGCATTCCATAAATATGCCGTCTTTTTTTCAGCTATAAAATGGGAATAAGAATTCCCACCATGAGGGCTAAATGAAATTGCATGCATCAGTTTCCTGACACACAGTAGTGCTAACATACATAGCAGTTCTTCCCTTCTCATCCTTGTTTGTTGTTGTGGTTTGATTAAAATGCTGCCTGACTTTCAAGAGAGCTTAGGAGCAAAGACTGTGGTGCTGAGTGAGTTGTTCAGATATTTCGTTTGTTGTAAAGCCGGTCATATATTTTCTGAGTCTCACTCTTCAAGGTGGAGAGAATTTCATCCCCAGGTCAGCCTACATGGGGTCCTCCTAATCTTCCTTATGGGCACGTTAGAGTGTGTGGGGAGGAGGGTGCTGGGATGGGTCCTGGACACCTAAAAATGGGGAAGAGGCTTCAGTCTCTGATTACATCTAAGGTACTGGCACAGCTTTGGTGTTAAGATGCTGTGATCAGCCTGGTCTTGCTGTCTGGTGGTCCTTGAGGCTCCCTTCAGGGCCCTGCAGGGGCCTCTCAGTGGATGGTGGGCTATGCCACGGAGACCCTTTGCTATGTTTGAGGCCTCAGTCCTATGACCACCTCACAGGCATCCCACAGTTTCCCCTGTTGGGGGGCATGTGGATATCTGTAGGCAGGACTCTGCCATTCTTTGGAGTTGGAATTTAGAAAGGAAGAATCCATACCACCATCCGTGTCGCCTATTCAATTCTGGGGAGCTCCTCTGTCTCTCAGAGTCAGCTACTTCTGTTTCCTCCATTCCAAGCAAGAGCTGGGGTTGGTGAGGGGGAAGGATTAAGAGTTATTATCTTCCAAGTGATTTTGGTTTCATACTCTAAAATATAGACACTCTTAAAAATACCCTCTGGCAATGGCATTAAGACACAGAAAGCTAGGGTTTGACTGCCTATTAAGATGGTGACAAGGGGAAAAGGCCTCCCTTCCTCCCTCCCTCCCTTTCTGCCTTCCTTCCTTCCTTCCTAGAGTAGTGTGAGAGTTTTAAAACATGTTCAAAAATTTGTGGACACCGTCCCTCCAACAGGTGAAGCCTAAGTCCCCTCCCCTTAAATGTGAGCTGAACTTAATGACTTGATTCTAATGAAGAAAATGTGACAGAAGTAGGGATGTGTGATGGTGTAGATCATAAAAAGTATTTGACTTGCTCCTTGCTGTCTCTGAAGCACTCACTCTGTGGGGGAGGCCAGCTTCCATGTTAGGAGGACACTCATGTAGCCCTCTGGAGAGGCCCTCATGGTGAGGAACTGAGGTCTTCTACCAATAGCCATGCAGTACACCATCTTGGAGGCAGATCCTCCGGCACCAGTCCAGTCTTCAGATGACTGCAGCCCAGGCCAACATCTTGAGTGTAACTTCAACAGAGACCCCAAGTCATAACCACTCAGCTAAGCCATTTCTAATTCCTCATTCTCAAAACCTGTATGAGCTAATAAAAATGTTTGCCATTGTTTTAAGTCACTAAGTTTTGAGAATAACATACTATATAGCAGTAGGTAATTAATGTAATTAATAGTGAAAACAAAACACAAATTGATATTTCAATAAGTAATCCTCAGTATGTGTGTGTCAGTCTGCAAAAATGGTAGACTGTGTTCACTCATTTAGCACCTATTTATTAAAGCCCCATAGCCAGGCATAGGGTAGGTGAACATGGGCAAATCACAGACACAGTGTCTAGGAGGCTCAGTTTAGAGATAATAGACAGAAGAATACAGAACAATGATGGATAAGAGAACCCAGATGGCTGTGGCAGCCAAGGAAAAGGGGCCCATGACTCAACCCAGCTTGTGTCCAGGGAAGGTTTCTTAGAGGTGATGGCAGCTATTGTGAGACTCCAAGGATGAGTAGGAACCAGCTGGATGAAGCTGAAACATGGGGAAGATCTTATACACTAGGCAGAGAGAACTGCTCATGGAAAAGCCCTGTGAGTGGGAGTTCATTGCCTCCCAGAGTATAAATTGGTTAGGTGTAGTCAAAGCTTAGGGGTGTGTGTGTGTGTGTGACGTGCATGTGTGTTTACATACTTGCATATGTGCATGGAGGGTAGAAAGGTAGGTAGAGATCACTGTGACAAGAGAAAAAGCAGGAGGAAGCAGGGAAACACAAATTCAAGTCTTTGCCTACCATGTCATAGGTGTGTGATTTTGGACAGGTCACATCACCTCTCTGAGCTTCATAGCTCCTTCTTTCTAAAATGAGAATCCTTTCAATAATATATTTAACAAAGATCTACTACATCCAGGTTCTGGGCTAAGTCTGGGAGCACAATCATGGTCACCAGAACAGCAAATCTTGCTCCCCAGGAGTGCAGAACTGAGGGTGGCTCAAGTGTGTGTCGTCCTTGATCTGTGCCAGCATTCTTCTGAGGCTATGTCTTCTTCCTCTTCTCATCTCCAAGGCCTAGCACAGACTACTGAGGGTATTGTTAATATGGCTGAGCATGACCTAATGGCTACGCTTTGAGTTCAGAAGGACTCTGCTTTGAGTCTGGTTACCAGTCTTGGGCTCTGACATCAGACTTCGAGGCTTTCAACGTCTCCTTCAGCATTTGCCAGTTAGATGACTTGAGGCCAGTTGATTCTTCATCTCTGTGAGCCTCAGTTTCTTTATATAAAAAAGGGGAATATTATAATACAATTTAACAGGTTTCTGTAAGAATTAAGTACCATAACATAAGTTTTTAGACATTCGGTAACTGCTCAATAGTTGGAAGCAATGTTTGTGACTGTTTGTTAGCACGAGAACTTGGTGCATATAGCATTCTGGTTACATGCTGGGACTCTGAAGCTTGGTTGCTGGGTTCAAGTCCCAATTCTGTTACTTAACAGCTCTATTATCTTGGGTAAGAATTTAATTTCTTGCTGCCTCTCCATTTCCTCATATGCAAAGTGGGAATAATAGGGGAACCTAACTTAACAGTTTGCTGTGCTTGTTAAACACACTAGTATACGTGGAGTGCTCAGAATAATGCCTGGCACTCAACAAGGGCTACATAAGTGTGAGGTATTATTTTTTATGATGCTACCTTATTCTTTGCAGTTTGAAAGAGGGTGTTGGACAGGCATCAGCAGGAAAAATCGGCCATGTTGTTGAGGGAGCAGAATCGAGGCTGTTTATCAACCCTTTGAGGGTAGTAGCACAAAGAAAGAGCCCCTGGTGTTTACGTAGAGTGATCTAAGCTGTGCCCCACCCAACCCACACTAAAGCCACCCCTCCAATTGTCCAGGAGACCCAGAATACACTGCGGCACAGGGCCAATCCCACGCCCCCTGCCTGCAGCTCTGTCCTCTCCGCCCTGCGACAGGCACTCAGGGATGTGTGTGCTGGCTTAGCAGGACTTGGGGGTTAGCCAGGGAGGGCGGAAGGCAGACACTCTCTCTCCTGCCCCCTGCCATCAGCAGGCTGGAGGACTCAGACAAGCCCTCAGCTTAATTGGCAAATGGATTCTCCAAGGGTAATTTCGTTGATGCGCGCCGTGGGAGGGTCTGCAGGCCTTAATGACCAGCTCTGCCTGCTAAATGTGTTTACCAAAAAATAAGGTTATTGATTCCACAGATATTTTGTTTGGCCCTCACCGTCAGCCTATTAACGCGAGTTTTATGTAACAGGACAAATAGATCACCGTGTAAAGTCTTTTGAAAATCCCCTGTGAATGCTGTAATAATGCTTTAATGTATTAATCCCCTTAATCCTGTCAAACTTCCAAAAGAATTTCAGGACGTGCTGACAGAAGATCTCGCTCCCAGCCCTGGCAGCCGTAGCTCCATGTGGCGGCTGCTGCTTTCAACCTTTTGTGGATGGGCCGAGGAGAGGCGGTGTTAGTAATGGCTACAGGGTTATGAGCTGATGTTAGAGGGTGTGGGAATAGATGGAAGAGGCACCGGTGCCTGCTTAAGAAAAGGAAAGACAGCCTAAAGAAAGTGGCAGCCCCCAGGGCCTTACAGCATGGAGCTGG